GTTGCAGCCCATCTATGACATCTCCATTCAGATAGCTGGGAAGATCGGCAGTGGAGGCTTTGGCTGTGTGTACCTTTCCCGGTGGAAGGGCACATCTGTTGCAGTGAAGCAGCAGTTGAGGCCTGCAGTTTCTACGATGAGCATTGAAGACTTTGCCACATTTTACAGAGAGGCCTGCAACCAGGCACTGCCGATTCAAGATCCTAAAGTCGCCGTTCTGTATGAGATCGCAGAATCAGGCTGGCTGGTCATGTCATTGGCCAACTCCGACATGATGAACATGTCTCATCTGGCACAGCCAGACTTGTCCATGACTACAAAGCTCAGACTTCTAATGCAGGCGGCAGCTTGCATGAAAATCATCCATCATACAACGGCTTGCCTTAAGCACAGTGACAATAAGAACCAGAACTTCCTTGTTTTCAGGCAGACCCCGGACATCTCCATGTTAGAATTTGCCGATTTTGGGCTGGCAGTTGCCGCCTACCCCATCTGGAGGAGTAAGACGGAGTGTGGCACTGGAGGCACCCTGGAGTTGCGCATTCTTGAGGCCTTGTTGGGGATGGATCTCATGCTGGCCTGGATTATGATGCAAGAATCATTGACCAAAAAATATCCTTGCACTCTGGGTGGAATTGATGTATTGTGGGCATTGTTGAATTGCCATGCAATGTACCCAGCTAGCATGGAGAACAGAGAAAAGAAACTGAAAGAGATAAAAAAAGAGGTTGAGACTTGTGAAGCGAGGCTGGACGAAGATGGCCACAGTGGTGCTGAAACGGAAAGTGAGGAGTCCAGCAGAGATGGTGGCAAATGTTCGGATGGTTTATGGATCCCTGCACAGCCTCAACACGATTCGATCAAGCAGTCGTTCAAAGCTGTGTGGTACTTGCACCCTATAGCAATGAGCCAAGAATATGATGCGATAAAAGGTGAGGATATTTGTGTGGAGGGTGGGCAGTGTAGGTGTCTAGGAATCTAAATAAAAATGATGGCGATGTGCTGCTTGAGGTCGTTATTGCTGATGCAGTAATCCAGAGAGGAAGTTGCAGTGAGCCCAGCTGAAAGTTGCTGAACTAACTCAGGCTATGCTCAACAACATCAGTGGTTGTCTCTGTTTCATTTACAGACCAGGCCTATTATTCCAACCAAGTCGTTTGTTCCTTGGGGTGCTGGGCGCACTGTGATGGGCAGGTGCACAGGCGACTGCTGGCGTTGAATGCAGGAGCCAGAACTGCCTTTTTTTGCTGGTTGGTGTTTGCTTTTTTCGGTCTTTTTTTCTTGTTGAAGCCAGACCAAAAGAGACGGCGAAGTTTTGATTAGCATCGCAGTTGCCATGGCTGTTGCAGCACTGACAGCTCTGCGGCTGCAATAACCACTTGTATGGCAACGTACTGAATGATCGCCTCTCCCAAGTAGGCGCCCACCACCAAGCGGACATCGTGGCTACAGGCGTGCGTGATGTCGTGGACGCCCATCAGAATCGCCAACGTGCACTCGACATCGTAATCGAGTTCGACAATCGTTCAAGCCAGGCCGAGAACTACCATCAAGTCAAGATGATGAGTATTGAACTGGGCGATTTCATGGATGCACGTCGGAACTACCAACGTGCCCTCGACATGGAGATCGATTTTGATGATCGCCTAAACAAAGCTGGGCCCTACCATCAGTTGGGTATGGTGGCTTCAGAACTGCGTGATTTCGAGCTGCGTGATCTCGTGGAGGCCCGTCGGAACTACCAACGGGCACTCGACATCATGATCGAATCTAGCTATCGCGTAACGGAAACTGGGACCCACGATGACCTGGTGATGGTGGCTTTAGAACGGCGTGATTTCGAGGAGCCATGCTGGAACTGCCAATGCTCCCTGGACATCTACATCAGATTTGATGACCGTACAAGCCAGGCTGGGAGTTACTGTCAAGTGGGGGTGATGGCTTTAGAACTGCGCGATTTCGCAGAAGCCCGTCAGCGCTACCAAAGTGCGCTGAAGACCTGCATCGGTTTGCGCAATATGGGTAAGAAAACACGGAAACAATCATAGTGATGCTAGATGATTTTAATATATAGAAATTTGGCAATGTGATGAATGAATATTAAAGTAAAGCTGCAGTTCCACTGTGTAGTCTGTTTTGCGATCAATTTGCTTTGACAGCATGGCTGTTTGCTACTGACAAAAGTATCGGACTGTGTTTTTACTGGTAGCTTCATCCCTTATGACAAGTGTGAGCATCCTTTTGGATTGCGGTTGACAGTCGGGAGGGATATCACTTGTATGGATTCTAATTGGATTCCGACACGTTGCGTGCTTCCGTGTCTTCAAATATGACAGACGAATCTGAAAATTTGGATGGATCGTCTGTTCCTTGCCAAGGACCTAGGAAAGGCCACGATGAAGGTATTACAGCTCGGAGCACTTGGGAGGAGGCAGGGCGCAAAAGAGTCCCGATGGAAACGCCCGACGACCTCCCTCAGGTAGGTTTGCAAATGGGTGATGTTCAGACCCACGCTACTTGTGTTTGGTGATAGCGACTGGAGGCACTGGCCACTAACAACCTTTTAGGTAAAAGTAGTACGGCAAAGTGCTATAAAATACCAATCACTGTAGCATTTTTCTGCAAAGCGTTCTGCTGACTATGCTAGCCGTAAAATTTTGGACCACTGGAAAATAACGAACACGAACAGACGATCAACATCACACCCACACACCCCCAGCCGATCTGCAATTCTAGAATTCCAAAATCGACAAGGCAAGAATAATTTAGTGTGCACGAACATGCATGTTCACAAGCTGCAATGGCAGGGCTGCATTTTCTGCCCAATGGTAGCCAATTTTGGGGCCCAATGCACCACGATGGCAAAGATGATCCGCTCTTCAGAAAATGGCAGCGTGCATACTCATGCAAGCATAAATATTAGTAGATAAACACGCTTTAGTATTTTATCCGCATCATGTGATGGTTGTTCACAAAACGATGTGACTGCTCTACAAATGGTCTCGGTGATGAGAGAAAATTTGTGTCGAACGCTTGAACAGCACAATCAAACAACTATGCACCATCTGTAGTCAGTTTTTTTGTGCGGGCTATGGGCCTTCCAGTGTGTGCTTTCTGCGATCCCTATTTGGGACGAAGGATGGACAGCGCCAGAGGTCTTAGAAATTCAAAGTCCACTCATTTTCAGTCGCACAGCCAGCCTTGGGCCAGCTTTTAATCAACTTACAGCCCATAGGTTTATGGTTGCCCCGAACCAGTTCGCCGTTGAAATACGGCCATTTGAAAGCGAACAACCAAGCAATACATAGCAAGTGCCATTTGAGGGGCCATTGGAGGGGCTGTTTTGTCGCAAAACATCGAACCCGTTCGCGTTGCGAACGGACAGCGTCACGGTTTTCGCTCCGCACTTTTTGGACGGACATTTGCTTTGGCTTCCTGTATTTTTTCAAACAGCCAGAGTTGGGATAGAGCTTATCAGAGCAGGGCGCGGGCGCCTGCCGTGCCTGCGCCGCTGGCCGCGAGCAGGGAAACCTCGGGGGGCATTGGCGAGCTTGACGCGCAGCGCGTGCCCATGGCCTTGCGGAGGCCACGGAATGGTCAGCGGCGGGTGTGCACGGATCCAAACCAAAGACGCACGTTGTTGCTGCATCAATGGATGGTCATCCGCGGGGAGGACAGCTGCACCGGTGGCCGCGAGTAAGCCGTCGATGCGCGGCCAAACGAGGCCCTCCTATCCGCTGCGGTTTTTAGGTCAGTGGCGGCTTGGTTGCAGTGCGAAACAGCGCCATCGGCATTGTTTGGGTGGGTGGGGGAAGAGCAAATGTGAACGGTGAAAATGGGCGACTTGTATCGATTGTATCGACTTCTTATCGGAAGAAACTTTAGGCAGCGGGCTTGGTTTGCTCGTGCGCTTTTGCTTTGAGAACGAAGCATGCGAGCGAAGAGCATAGCGTCGATTGCGATCAGGATGGGCTCACCCAGCAAGGATTCGTTGCAAGTGCATGAAGCGCTGCTTGCCTTGCTTTCAAAGCACGTCAAGCATGCAGCCAGCCAGCCAGCCAGCCATGAAGGGGAAACCCCGCCTGGGCCGCTTCGCAAGCACAGTGCTGTGCTGACACACAAACAGCACCGCCTTGTCTCAGTTTGTCAACACCAGCGCCCATTCTAGCGGCCCAGGTGGCCTCAACCCACCGGGACCCCCACCGCCCGCCCATGCGCACCCGCCCCCACCCCCGCGGACCCGGCTTCCCCCTCGCCCCCCCGAACCCCCGGGTCGTGACGCACTGGTGCACCCGGCTGTGCCCCCCCGCACACACGCTGCCAAATGCCGGCGTTGGCATATGCCGGCGATCGCTTTCCGCGCCGCGAGACGCGCTTCTCGGCCTTTCCCAGGGGGAACCTCGGGAGTGGCAACAGCGTCCAGCTTTCATGGCCACGTATACCTTCCTGTTTCCTTGGGACTTGCGTGCGTTGTGGCCGCCAGACGCGACCAGGGCCCGGCTTCTGGGCGCCGCGGCCGCGGCAAGGGCCGCAGCAGCCACGGGAGGTGCGGCTGCAGATGCATTTTGGGTGCAATGCGATCGTTCGGTGGAAGCGTGGGTTGCTACGGGCCCAACACCTTTGAAGTCAACCAGAACATCGCATGTTTGGACCTCCAGAATCCCTTCAACATTTGTTTTTAACTGTTTCGGCGTATTTAAAGTTACTAAGCAGAAGGGTTTGATATAGTGCCTTTGTCCTCTTTTTGTTGTCCGTGCATGATTTGAGGTTTGAATTTTGGCGCTGCCAGCAAGAGGCATTAATCTGCCAAGAAGCGAAAATTGTGAGAATTGTCCTTTGGAATTTCACAGTTCGCTCACGACCAACTTGACAGCATCTGCACTGATGGCAGTGCGATGACAGTATTGGCGCTCTGTTTTGCGTTTGCTTTGGACTTCTATGGACATTGTGGTATGTTTGTGCACCAGGAGGAGCTTCCCAAATCAGCATCAGACACAGCAATGAATTCGACGACAGAATTTCAAAGAAGATACACGATGGCCTGGATCTGTATGATGCTCTTCCAGCAGGGGAAGTATGAAGCAGCAGTGGGTATTGTCTGGTGTTTGTCAACAATGGTTATCTCAGATGGTGCTGTTCCTTTGATTTGTGCACCAACTCCTTGGCAGGAGTTACCACTGAAGACAGAGAAAAATCAAAGAAGTGTGGGTTTGAAATTAGTTAACATTGACCCAATCGTTACAGCTCACGTGTGTGTCTCGATGGCAAGGCTCAGGGTCAGAATGTGCACAGAAGCAGGGAAGATGAGTTTTGTGGGGTGGGCATTGAGCAGTGGACTTCTGACCAAGCCACTCCCTGTCCTTGCCGCCGCTTCAGGAATGAGGAAAAAGGTGCTGCATGATCCTTTCTTGAGTAATTTGGCTTTGGTGCTTAGCCATCGGGGAAAGTACGAGCAAGCAGAAAGGCTTCACAGAGAAAGGCAGGACATGATGAAGAAGGTGTTGGGTGAGGTCCACCCAGATGATGGCAGTTCTTTGAACAACTTGGCATTGGTGCCGTCCAAGCAGGGGAAGTATGAAGAAGCAGAGACGCTCCACAGGGTAGCGCTGGAATTGCGGAGGAAGGTGTTGGGTGAGATCCACCCAGATGTTGCCATTTCTCTCAACAATTTGGCATTGGTGCTGTCCAAGCAGGGGAAATACAAAGAGGCAGAGATGCTCCACAGGGGAGAGCTGGAATTGCGGAGGAAGGTGTTGGGCAAGGTCCACCCAGACATTGCCACTTCTCTCAACAGTTTGGCGTTGGTACTGTGCAAGCAGGAGGGGTACAAGGCAGAGAAGCTTCACAGGGACGGGCTGAAAATGAGGAGGATGGTGTTCTGGGAGGTTTTCTGTGGGGCGGGGGGGTCAGCACATTTTAACCTTGGATTAGCACTTGAGGGAAAGAAAGAATACAAACCATTGAATCCTTATGACAGATATGCCCTAGAAATGACAAAAACAGTGCTTGGCGAGGGCCACCAAAGCATTGCTGCTGCTGGGGATAATTTAGAACTGGCAGCGCAGCAGCCTCACAGGCGAGTGGGGATGACACTGCTTTATGCTCATCCAATCATTGCCACTTATTTGTCTGATTTTGCAACGAGGCAGATGAGCAGGAAGTATGAGGAAACAGGGAAGGTCAGGAGAGAAGGACTGGAAGTGAGCAACGAAATTCTGAACAAGGCAAGCCCTCATGTCACCAGTACTTTGAACATTGATGAACGTTGCCATGGCACACGAGTCAGAAACGCCTCCTAGGTCGACTAGACATTTCTGAAGTCGCTGATTTCATGGCAATTGAGCAGCAGTGATACAATTAAGAGTGCTGTTGTACAATGCACACCTCAATTTCTTTGGATGTGTTTGCAGTTCTGTCGTCTCCACCATTATAGATGCGATTGTTTGATGCACTTTCTGAGTATACAAGAGGTGCAAAGTCCTTAAGAAATTTGTACACATCCGCCTTGGGGAACAATCCATGTTTGTGGCATGTGCTACTGTCAATATTGATGATTTGTGTCACGATCTTCCACATACCTACGACAATGAATAACACCCTTGGGTTTTGATATGTATATGGTGCACTTGGTCTGTAGGTTAACATTGCGTCTTGCCTTTTTTCTTTTGTGTGCAGGGTGGCACCTTGGATCCTCCAGCGGGTTCTGTGCGAATCGAGGCACTGCCAGATATTGATGGGCAAAATCTGTTGAGAACTAGGGACAGCCATGCTGCTGAGGGCCATGACATTCCAGATGAGGGCGAACAGTGTGGCTTTCCTAATAGGGAAAAGGTAACATGGTGCAAGGACTGGACAGGTGCCGAGCAACATGCCGAGCAAACAGGATGCCCGTCATGTACTTTAGAGGCGTGGCTCCGGCAAACTTGTACTACTAGTATTAGGACTATTTGTTCTTGCACGCCTTGTAATGCTCATTGCTGTGCCCAGTTTGCCCAGTATGTTGTCCCAATTTCCTATACATGTGCCTCTCACCGCCACATAGTAGTAAGTTTTGTCATCTTGGTTGGTTTACTTGTTTTCCCATTGGTCGATTAATCGATGCATTGATGCATGGCGTTTTCAGCTGCTTGCATTCGTCCACTGGCTAACTCGCCAAGTGAGCCCATCATAGATGCATGTACCGATTGACCTGGGGGTTCACTTATGTATTCAGTGTGTATTCGTTGGAGAAAATGCCCAATCTCTGTCGACATGGGCAGGCAGGGTGGGCGGGGGTGAAATATGGGTGTCATTGGCGCTATTGGCGCATCAGCAGGAACCCCCATTTCAATGGCATGGCCATGGCCGCCCTGGCTGCCCGGATGTATCCTTCGTCAGCAGCCCCAAACTGTGAAGTCGCCCGATGTCATTGGCAGCTGGGATTCGCGACTTTGACTATGGAGTATTTTCATCATCCTTCTTCATTATTGGATCGGTAGTTTCGTCGTTTATTCGCTTTTTGATTTAGCCGATCAACGCAGTGACATGTGGACTAGAGTGTTGACTAATCGCCAGTCTCACGTTGCTTCCTCAGAAGCCACCTCGCTCCAGAATGGCACTTGGCCAAAATGCTTTAAACATTTGCGCATCGCGGGGAAGCTTCTCCTCCTCACTCTCCATGGCAGCTTGCGTTGTCTTCGCCATCACCTTCGCGACAGCTGCCGCTGCATACAGCGATGTGAATTCCCCCATGCAGGTGCAAACGTGCCCTTGTGGATAAATGTTGTTTATCATTGCGTTCTGTTCATTTAACTCATTAATTCAGTAACGATATATTTTGACTATTTTGATTTGATTTATTGTTTTCTGCCTCTCTGCGTTTGTTTACGTACATTTTGTTTGATGGCTTGTCGATTTTGAATTGGCTTAAGCCTAGATGTGCATAGTGTCGAAATTCGATTTAGGGCGTCCAGGACCAGCTGGCTCAGGACCTGCAGATATCCTGTATGATGACGATGAGGTGTAGTCACTATCGTACTGTGCCACTGAGAAGAGATGCGAATCTCAAAGAATGAATACTTGATTGAATGTTTCGTTAGAGAATTGATTGTTACTGTTCTGTTTTGTTTGAGAATGTACATGCGACGTTTTGGTGTTTTGTCAGCTTGTCTTGCTAAATGCGGCACAGGATCATGTCCCCGCATTCACCACCTTTATTTACTGCTGAGTTGAGCTACATTGATTAAGTATTTATTGATTGTGTTGTTGTAGTTTATCAATTTAATTTAGTTAATGTGGGGAGAGAAGAATGCATGTAGACGAATATTGTTACGATATCGAACTGAGCGTACTGTTCTGCATTTAGCCTGAGTTTGGACAGCATTAAATGTGCCGTTGAATTGTGCTTTGGTCAGAGACAATTGTGCTGCCTCCTGCTGTGTGGTGAGTACTGATCTGATATCTGACTGTCGATCAAATCTGTGAGAAAAGGTGACAGATGTTTTTATTGCGGCTTTTGACAGGGCAATGTCACATGGAGTGCAGCGCCGCGAGGCCGATTTCCATATCTTGTTAGCGTACGGGACGGCTTCAAGGGACACAGTTGTGATGGAGTGTTGACTCATCCGCATTACGTAATGATCGACGCTCATTGCGCGGAGGTGGTCGGCCCAAATCCAGTTATGTTCTTTTACAGCACAGTGACTGAGGAAGGGGCGGCGAAGATCAAGGTAATGTGAATACTCTGTCATTGCTGTTTGCCATCATAAGTTAAATCCGGGTGTGTAAAATGCACGCAATATAAATTAGCACAAACGCAAATTGGAATTCGGGCAAATATGTCAACCATAATACTAGTTCTTGAGCGCATGTAAAGGTTTTACTATCGTTTCATTAATGGTGTGGTGCTGTTTCATCCACGCATACGATGCGTTAGAATGTTGAACGTAAGTCTACGATGTTATTGAGCATTGGAGATGGTGTAGCCGCACTAGCCTTTTGGCAAAGGTTCGCTGCTGGTGGGCGGCTGCAATTCAGGTAAGTTATCATTGCCTAGTGCACTATAAATAAAGTACTGGACAAATATTTGCTGTGTACATAGCTAAAGTACTTCATCAGTATTTCATTGGACTGAGAATAGACTGACTGTGCTGCTTTGAATAGCACCGATGCCCCATGCCCCACACCTGCTTTGAGTTTCATGCGGATTTTCCCCGATTCCTTTCCCTGTCTGCTGTTGTCGGTGGAGAGAATGACGCCCACTAGGCACTGGAAGTCGTTAGGCCTTTTCCCTTTTCTTAAAGGACCTTGATGTGAATTGCACTGTTTCAAGCATGAAAGCCCCCCCACCCCCTCCTCCCCACCCCCTCACCGAGAAAAGGTTGGAGCGACATCACACCCTTGAGGAAAAGGTGGCACAGGCATGGACTGCAAGGTATTATGCCTCACACCACTTCTACCAAGGAAGCTCAACGAATTGGGAATTGAACCTGCTGCAAATGGCTGCAAGTTTGAAGTGCAGAACATGCAAAACCACGTTTAAATTATCGCAGGAGGTCAGGGCGGAAGGGGTCCTTTTTCATCCGAACATAACGGAAGTGGCTTTGTTCCTACTCTTGGAGCCCGTCGGTGGCAATGTGGCTGTGGCCCAAGCGGCGCCGCCATTCCCAAACGCCGTTCTGGTGACTGCCGCTGAGGGAAGCGATGTTTTCGTCACTCCCTGGGACTGCGGGGATGATGTCAGAGGGAGCGAGTGCATGCGAATCTTGGCAAAAGTGCCAAACTGCAGTGAAGGTGAGCAACAACGGTTGATTGTCGACAGCGAGCAGTTCGTTGAGGCATACGCGCATGTTTTTGGCAAGCGCTGGTGAATGTTGGTACCATTACCACCTTCATCCAGTTTGGACATTTGAGCACTTCGCATTTTGATCCAGTTTGAATAAAGTTGCAAGAGCCGTGTTTTGAAACGACGCTGTTTTCCATGGTCGGTGGTTCAGGCCCAAAATTCAGGCAGTACAGTTTGGTGGTGCTGGACCCACCTCCCTCTGCAGCCGGCTTTAAGAGTCGGGATACAAATTTGGATCTCATGGTCGGCATGGTGTCATCCTGGGATGGTGATGTAACATTCGTGGATTTGAACAGAAGCGACATCCGGAGATGGCTGGAGGATGTCAAAGCCCAGATGGTACGATAGCACCTCTTCACAAAGATGGTTGCAAGTAATTGCTGCAAAGCATTGAGCCTTGTATCACCTTTTGCCAACAGAGGGTTTTGACGCTCGTCTCGAGGAGGGGTGCTGTTGTGTTTGGCAGTGCATGAAAGGTACAATGTTGGGCAATGGCGAATGGCAAAAATGCAGGCTTCTTTTGCTCGGAATGGCGTTTTTGAATGTGTAGAGTGCCATTCGTGGCGATTTCGCAATGCATGGCGATGGGGGACAGAGAAAGATGTTCGGTTGTTAAACAATTCCCCAGATGCGACACGCAAATGTAGTCTGCTTATGTGCATGTGTTTTGATAAAACTCTGCAGCTGTTTCTAAACAAACAGAGAAGCTTGTTAAGAATCACGATGGCGTCGCCCCCCCCGGCCCCCGCTTCCTTTCCAGACATAGCATTTGGTCCAGTTCCTGCTTTAGTTTTAGATGTGATGTGTGCCAGGCGCATTTGCTGCTGCCAATATCACCGTTCAAGTGTAATGCTGTTGAAGCATCTGCCAGAGAGAACTTGTCACGGTGGAAATGTGCATCTGAAGAATAACGAGTGTACTGACAGCCACTGTTCGAACAATCGATCAATTATGCAGAGCAGGAATTGCATTAGATCGTGGAATCGGAATCGGGGCTTGGGGGACAAAAAAAATTGTCAACGGCATTGAGCCAGAAGCTGCCAATACTGAGAAGCTTTAGGTCATGCATCGAAAATGCACAAACTAGTTTCAAGGGTATTTACATCGAATCTGTGAGAATGCACAATTCATTTTATAAGAGCGTTGGTCGATACAAACATGCTAACCTTTGTCCGTTGCATTTTTCCCTGCAGGAGCCCATGCAAAGAAAGAGACGTGATCACATATTGGCCCTGGTGATTTCTTCTGTCTCCCTGGGCTACTCGGTATGTTAAGAATCTCACATCCACCGCATTCGATGCTCCCAGGTTTGATGTAACGGCGCATAAATGTTTGGCAATCGTCCCTGAGCCACGTTCCCTGGCGTTCCCGACGTTGTGCATGTAAATGTGCTGTGTGTACATTTTGCTGTGCACAGCACTGGGGTGCGCTGGTCAATTTGGTGTAGTCAAGTTGCTGGCCGGCCATGCCCACTCATTCAATGTCGCCCAGGGGGTACGGCGGGCTGAACGCCGAGTACTTTGTGGGCATCAAGGGTGCGAATGGCACCGCTGCTAGCGCAGTGTTGTGCAGCAATACGGGGTTCGGTCGGTACATTAATGCGTGAAGATGGGTACGTGGATGTGTTTCTGCTGTCTGCGCATTTGAACAGGCAGGTGTGCACGTGCGTGACAGTCTTAGACATTCTTCTAAGCTAGCGTTCCGTTCTGTTCCGTTATTCCGCATTCTTGGTTCATTTTTCTTAGTCTTGTTCATTCTCTCTAGATTCCACAGTAATTGGCAGCTCTGTACTTACTGTTTTCTCACTATTTTCAATGAATTTAGTCACGCTTTCATTGTTTCTTTTCTGCTCTTATCTACACTTTATTTCTGTTCAACCTGCGCCACATTCTAAAATGAATACTTTTGGGGTATTTTGCATCTGGCGTGTTCGCCTCCTTCCTTCGTTAAAGCCAGCATGCCTATGACAACCCATCCATTGGCCGATGGTTCCAACGGCAAATTAACAATAGCAATTGTCGGCATGTTTACAAAACAGTTTCCTGGAATTGATATCTGCCCTGCCCTGGTTCTCTTTTTCTCAGGTGGCATGCGATCACATTTCGGTGCTGTACCAGAGGGTAAGGGTGACCACGCAAGGCCTCATGCTTTCTTCTCGAACTTCCAGTAGGCTGACATGTGATATGTGGTGCGGAGTGGGAGGCAACATGGCAATGTTGTCGATGCTAAATTTCAACTTGAGCAATAACTTAGCTTACATATTTTGTACCCTGAGGTGGCCCCAATGGGACAGGTGTCTCCAGACACACGGTGTCAACAAAATACTAATTCAATTGAACTGATGGCTGCAACTTGATTTCTTACTACCCAACTGCCCCAAAGTCACGAAAGCCAGGAGGAGGAACAAAAGCGCTTCAGTTTCACCCCCCCGTTCCTGGAGCTGGACGCTGAACGATGCACTATGAATTCTTCCCTCACAAGCTTCACGCGCATCCAGCACTTTTGGGTGCCACGGAAAGTTCAATCAAGTTTGTGCAGGATACCTTCTGGAACCTGGCTGAAAGCCGTGTTGCCAATGGGCGGTGCAATGCCATTGGCATAAAGCAGAACAGAGTTGATCCAGATTCCATGCATCAGTCTCAATGCACCGTTCACACTCGCACCAACTCTTGCCAAATACCATGTCTAGAATGCTAGAGTGCTGTTGGGTGTATTGAAAATCGAATGCATACTTGGTAAACGAGATTTGATCCCGCATTACATGGCACCGCATCAACAGGAATGGGATGGCAACGTTGCCGCTACTTCTCAACAGCTATAGATGCCACTTTACGAGTAACAGCATCGACACCGGGCACAAGTCTGCCGGAACAGTGAAGGCCGGAATCGTGTAACGCTTCACGCCACCTGAATCTCCGTAATGAAAAGGCGAGTCCACTGAAGCGCGGGACAAATTTGGCCCATCTAATTGAATTTGCAATTGCATTATCAAAAAGCACTGTTGCGAGGGCGTTGCTGACATGGTGCTCATGCGCACAGGGATTTGCGGTGTCGTTCGTGATTGGACTGATCGTGTGGACGCACGAATACCTGGATGACGCATTTCAGTACTACGTAAGCTCCACCCCAATTCTGCTCAAAATATTGGGACCGTTTCTGTCGACATCACAGTGCTGATGGTACTGCAGGAAGCTTAGTTAGAAAATTTTTTGAAATAGGCTCTTAGCAATTGTAGTAACGCGGAGCTCGTTTGCCTGCGCTGGCGTCAGCGGTACCACAGTTAGCATGACCAGGCATCGTGCGCGCCGTGGCTTGTTCATTGCGTCTTGTTATCCACTGTTATCCGCGACTTCATGAGGTTTATTATGTACTACTAGTGTCCTTCTAGGTTAGTAGCCATCTTAATATTTATCATTTGTTATTCCTCATCTGTGTCATGTTTGGTTGCCATCCAGAAAATCTGCTTGGTATTCAATGCTTTGTTGCTTGATGTACTGGAGCAGGCATCTCTGCCGCTAGAGGACGTCATTGCCATCGCCCTTGCACTGGCAGCAGTGTTGATCAGAGTAAGAACGGTGGCACGGCGTTAAGTTGTTTATTTCATCTATACGCAGGCGCATGTCGTATATGTTGGTATTGTTGTGGTTATATTCGGAGTCCAAGTGAAGAACGGCATCTGCCTTTCGATGCACATTCGCTGTTCTCCCTTTCCAGTACTCAATGGTAGTACCGAAATCAGCCGGCGATGCACAACTTTCTGAAAGTTTTGCGGCTTTTGCAATGTTGATACTTATAGGTGTGAAAGGCCTTGTCCAAACTCTGATTGAAATTGTTTGAGCGTTCAGATTTTGGAGTGCGTCGAGTCGGTTTTCTGAGGGGGCCTGAGCATGTCTTATGTTGTCTTGTGTCTTCTCAGGTGATTATCACTTACTTGCCTCATCTCTATTCCTGGGTAAGTGCACATCATTTTTCAAGGCTATGTCAGTATTGAAAACTATTCAATGCAGGATACGAGCAGTTCAAGAGCGAATGGCATGTGCATGGGTATTTCTGATGCAACTGCATTGTTCGTTGCAAAAACGGCATCCACTGGTAAAGGAATTGGTGATAGGTACAACACTAATGATTTGTTGAATTTTAACTATACGCGGCATCTGACCACAGCGGTCCAGCTTGCAAGTTTATTAACAAGCTTGAGCAGAGCTCAATTATTAGTATTTGAGCTGCTGTTGGCAAAAAGCATCTCCAAAAGTTATGGACCGGTAAGGCGTATTCTTTTATGAATGGAGCATTGCACGACCATGTAACTCGTGACCGTAGTGTTGTCTAAAGTGTATGCTAACCTAAAAAGTTGTCTCCCCTGATCATGTGCGTCTTGCTCATAACGAATTTGTTTCAAAGATCTTGTTCTACTTTCCTCTGTTAATGCGTCACAGTAGTGTTCTCCTTCGTGTGTCAAATAGTTTGGAAGCATTTGCTGTGGTGCTTTAAAACTGCACACCAAACACCAGCTATATCCATGCCCTTGCAACCTTCAGAAGGAAGCATTCTCTAGGCATGCTTGAACCCCATCGACTATGTCCTCACCTTTTGCAAAAGCTAACACCCCTCAACACTGACAACGTATGAATGTGAATTTACAACGTTACTGTCAAGAACAACCTTCCGAGTAGCATGAACACTAGGCTTAGTATATATCAGTGCTTAGCAATGCCACTTGGTCCCAAGGGTGCTGAAGTATGTTTTGTATCGTGTCCCTGATTTTCAGGTCGAACAAGGTGGGGCGAAACCCCCTATTTGCGTAATCCACGACGCCCTCCCAGAGGCCAAGAATCTTCCCGAAACAGCCCTCGTTGAGGCAAGCCCCATTGGAGATCGCCGCATGCCGAGCCTTGCAAACCAGCAGCCTGCCGAAAGCAGAGAGAAAGTCGCCGACGCCCTTGGCGGATGGAAGGAAGGGTCGCAACTAGATTGTTTCGGTTGTGTGAAAACGCTTTTGGGAGGCTGCGAAGATGGGACCCTGAAATGCCCTGATGTGAAATGTCGCGACCAGGAAAGTGCCTGCTGACGTGGTGGGTTGGGTTGTATTGGAATGGAGGCACGCGACAGATTTTGTCCATCCCACGGTGAGAGTGCTTGCAGTCATGCAAAACTGGTGCACAAGGAATACACACCAGAAGGTGAGCATGCTTGCAGCTGTGCGATGTTGCGCAAAAGGAGCGCACAACTGTATGTCATGCTACTGAACCTGAGTCATGAGGATGCAACGCACGTGACTGCGATACGAAGGTGGACCAGCTGTGCTGTGGCAGTCTCATCATCTTGTTTTTCTTCTTTTATTTGATGCATTGGTATCTTCAAACTTGGAGCCTTCAGTGACAACAAAACACGGGCGGCTACCTAATAGCATGGCTAGAATGCCGGGACTGTGGGAAAATTTGGCGGCAAACAACGGTAGCCATGCTGAAATTGTGGTGGATGTGGCAAAATAGTGGCAGTGACAATATAGCGGTGGCCGCGACGAAGCAGTGGTGGTGGCAAGATGGAGACGGTGATGCAATAGTAGTGCTCCGAGCACTACGAGTCGTGGTGATGTGAAATATGGTGGTCCGGTGAAGTGGTGATAGCGATGGTGAGAGTGAATGAACTTAATCTCATTTATGTGGAGGTGACAGCAAGAGAACAATTGGGCGAATGTTGTGTCATGGGAACTGGCGTATTAATTCTGTGCTCGACGTAGATCCGCCTGGACAAACTGGGCGTTGCAGAATTTCAAAGTGGTTGGCCACCTTCAACATTACCTCCTTGAAGGTGATCGGATTTCTTCAGTGGACGAATTGAACCATATTAAATCAAGAAAACGACTAATGAGGGTATTAAAATATAGCAGTGACGAAAAATGTGTTAGACTGCGAATGGTATTGTATTGGGGCTCAAGGGTATGCTGAGCAAAGTGTTCGTGAAGGTGTTAGATGATGTCCCGTGAATGTTTTCCAGCATATGATAATTATGCTCTGGATGAGAATTGTGGCAGCTCCGCTGATCCAGGGGATGGCAAACGTCCTTTTTCTAGAGATCCTAGATAGAGAAATCACAGAGTGAGATGGACTGTGCCTGACCCCTGCTGTGCATCCCTTCCGCCGCGAACTTGCCTGAGTTATTCAGTCCGTCGAAGATCTGGCCTGTAGCGTCCTGGCTTGCTTCGGATCTGTAGTAGTATGCGTCATGGGCGCACGACAGAATAGGTTCTAATTTTCAGTTGGTCTTCTGTAGA